AAATTAAAACACTTTTAGCCAATAAAATGCCGTTAGCCAAAAAAAAAGAAAAGAAAAAATTAAAACACTTTTAGCCAATAAAATGCCGTTAGCCAAAAAAAAAAACTTTTTGCCAAAGAAAAAAGCATAAACCACTGCTAACCAGACCAGCGTTAGCCAAACTGATAGCAGACAGAAAGGCTATGAGCACTTCCTGCTTCAGCTGGTGAACATCACACGGCAGTGGAGGATACCAGCTTGTTTTTAAATGTAACCCTGGCTCAAGGACACCACTACATGTGGTCATGGCAGCACGTTTTGATCATTGAAAGAAAAGTTTCTGCTGACTCACCGATCCCACGCTTCAGTCGGTGAACAGCCAGGTTGTTGTCAGGCTCTGTGAGGAAAAATACTTTTGATGAGATTAATAAAAAGATTTAAACAGAAACAAAATCTTTAACTTTCTACAAATGACACAAGTTTTAGATTAAAACTTTAACAACAACTTTCTACAAATATGTTGACTGTGTTCTGGTGCGAAAATTACTTTAAGAGATTTTTTCATCACATTCTGTTATTTACATTTTACAAAACAAGAGTACCTGATCCTGTACCCAGTCCTGTACCTGATCCTGTACCCAGTCCTGTACCTGATCCTGAACCCAGTCCTGTACCTGATCCTGAACCCAGTCCTGTACCTGATCCTGAACCCAGTCCTGTACCTGACCCTGTACCTGGTCCTGTACCTGACCCTGTACCTGGTCCTGTACCTGACCCTGTACCTGGTCCTGTACCTGACCCTGTACCCGGTCCTGTACCTGACCCTGTACCCGGTCCTGTACCTGACCCTGTACCCGGTCCTGTACCTGACCCTGAACCCGGTCCTGTAACTGGTCCAGTACCCGGTCTGGTACCTGGTCCAGTACCCGGTCTGGTACCTGGTCCTGTACCTGGTCTGGTACCTGGTCCAGTACCTGGTCCTGTACCCGGTCTGGTACCTGGTCCAGTACCTGGTCCTGAGTGTTTGTCTACATCACTTCCTGTAGGGGCAACATACCATTCTGTTAAATACATTACCCATGATGCTCCTCTGCAACATTTAGACAGTCATGATGGCTGCTGTACCTGGTCTGGTACCTGGTCCTGTACCTGGTCCGGTACCTGGTCCTGCACCTGGTCTGGTACCTGGTCCTGTACCTGGTCCGGTACCTGCTCCTGCACCTGGTCTGGTACCTGGTCTGGTACCTGGTCTGGTACCTGGTCCTGTACCTGATGTATTACATGCTGTTTTATTTACATTTTACAAACGGTTGTACCTAGTCTTCTACCTGGTTTTGTACTGGAATTTATACCTAACCTTGTTTCTGGTCTTTTACCTGTTCCCGTAACTGTACCCGGTCTTCTGCCTGGTCTTGTTTCTTGTCTTGTACCTGGTNCTGCTCTTCCACCTGGTCTTGTACCTGGTCTATTTTCTTGTCTTGTTCCTAGTATTCTACCTGGTCCCCTACCTGGTCCTGTAACTCTACCTGGTCTTGTAACTGGTGTTGTTTCTTGTTTTGTGTCTGGTTTTGTACCTAGTCTTGTTTCTTGTCATGTAGCTGATCTTCTACCTGGTCCTCTACCTGGTCATGTACCTTATCTTCTACCTGGTCGTGTACCTGGTCCTGTAACTGTACCTGGTCTTGTTTCTTGTCTTGTACATGGCCTTCTACCTGGTCCTGTATCTGGTATTGTATCTGGTGCTGTAACTGTACCTGCTCTTCCACCTGGTCTTGTACCTGGTCCTGTTTTTTGTCTTGTAGCTGATCTTCTACCTGATCCTCTACCTGGTCCTGTACCTTATCTTCTACCTGGTCTTGTACCTGGTCCTGTAACTGTACCTGGTCTTGTTTCTTGTCTTGTACATGGCCTTCTACCTGGTCCTGTATCTGGTATTGTGCCTGGTCCTGTAACT